ATAATTTAATATAGTCCCTGTCTGACTTCCAAACAACATTGCTTATACCAGATGTTCAAAATTAAGCGTTACAAATTTTTATCTCGAAAACACGGCATTTTTTTAAATATTGGGCATTGCAAAAATAAATGTTGTTGTTGTTTAAGGGTAGGTTTTACAGATACATATAGGAAAGTCTTAATTTTAATGAAATAGGAATTAAATTTTAACCAATCTTTTAACCAATTTCGTGACTAACATTCTTTTTTCTTATCGCATGCACCGTAATAGGATTATATACGATACGGAGAAAAACATCAATGATTGTACATAACGACTATGATCATACGCACAGGTGGAAATATTTCTGCATATTTTCTCTTCTTTGATACACTGTATTTATTTTAACTATAAAGGAATTAATAAATCATTGCGCTATAAAGCACGAAGATATCTCTGCGCGGTTATCGCGATTATTTTCCGCTATTTTCATAAGATGCAATGTAATATTAAAAGTCGGTACGTTATCATTTTTGTATATTTCTAACAACATATTGTATTCGTATAATGCTAGAAAAATGCGATACTGGTTTTATGATATACATAAAAGTTTTTCCAAGTTTGAAAATCATTTGAATGAGGTAATTGTAATAACTAACTTAAAGTTATTTTTTTCAAGAAAATGTTTTAGTCTCTAACCAATGGTAGATGCTGTTTGTGATATAAAAACGGAGAATTCAGCTTTGAACCTAATAAATTGTAAGTATATAATTATAACAAATAACTTTTTAATGTATTTAAAATAAAATATTGTATAGATCAGCTAATTAATATTTGGTTAATTAAAAATTAAATATGGAAGACATACAGAATATTCCGCGTTGAGCGAACATGAAAGTGCATTCACGCGTCAGATTGCAATTCTTCACTTGGAACCACTTGAAACGAGTGCTAAATAAAATGTAAGTACTATATTCTTGATTAAGTTGGCAGTCTAGATTATATGCCATACGCATAATGAAGAAAAATTGCTTTTAAGAAAGGCAATTTTCAATAACTCCGCAAAACATCATCGTATTTCAATTCCATAAAAAACATTTTGAAGCTTGAAACTTCTTCATTCAAATGCTTTTTGCGAATTTTAATTTTTTTAAAACATTTTTAACATTTTCGCTGTCATACGCTGCTAAGACGTGAGCAACGTCTCATTGCTGCTTGGTGCTAGGCTTAGTTAGTGGGAAAAAGACGGAATCAGTATGACCGCTTTCTTCTACAAGTCGAACGCCGAGCGCATACGGACGCGTGACGTAAGCGTGTCTCGGTTGTGTGCTGCTCTGGTGGATAAACTGGCATGCCTGCTTCCACTCTGTCCACTCTACCTCATTTTCCTTGATATTTATTTCGCTATTGTTGATGGCGCAGTTCGGTGCTGCTATTGCAGGTTAGAACATGCAAGTTCATGTAATGTGTAGTTCATCTTCACGAGAATAACGATTAGAATGTTTCGATCAATGAGGTGTTCGATTTTCACGCTACATCGCGTGAAAAATCGCCGTTGTTTGCACACATGCGGTCAGCAGTTGTCAGAAGTTACAGAATATGAGTGTAAGTTTTGTTGATATCATGATTAATGAAATATTTAATAATATATGTCGACTTCTATAAAAGTAATAATTGTTTGTATGCTGCAGCTCCTATTACAGAGGAATATAAGAAGGGTCCAATGGAGGGTAGGTCCCTTTATTTAGATGCCCAAGCTACTACTCCACTGGTGAGTTTAAAATATGATGATGTTATATGATGCAATCCACGCACACGTGATTAATCAAGATGCTAAATTGTTATGTAGGATCCCCGGGTGTTGGATAAGATGATGCCATATCTAACAGTGTATCATGGTAACCCACATTCCAGAACTCACATGTATGGTTGGGAATCAGAGGCAGCAGTTGAGCATGCTCGTCAGGTTAGTGCCCTATGTTCTACATTTTGTTTTCTTATTTTCTGTTTTCTAATCTGAAAAATTATGTATATTTAACAGCAAATTGCAGATCTGATTGGAGCAGACAAAAAGGAAGTGGTATTTACTTCTGGTGCAACAGAATGTAACAATATAGCTGTGAAAGGCGTGGCAAGGTTCTACAAAGCAAAGAAAAATCATGTTGTGACGACCCAGACAGTGAGTCATATCTTTATAATAAGACTTGTTTCCTGATAAACATATGATAAATTGGAAAATCAATTTTGTATGCAGGAACACAAATGTGTATTAGATTCGTGTAGAGCCTTGGAAGCAGAAGGATTTGATGTAACATATATTCCTGTTAAATCAAATGGTCTTATAGACCTCAGCGAATTAGAAGCAGCTATTAAACCATCTACATCTCTAGTTTCTGTAATGATGGTAAATAATGAGATTGGTGTTAAACAGCCTATTCAGGAAATTGGCGCTATTTGTAGGCAAGTATATTAAAGCTACGATTATTCTATCACAATTCTGTTGTAATTCCATATATTTTGTGATTTTGTAGAAAGAAAAAAGTTTTCTTCCACACAGATGCTGCACAAGCTATAGGCAAAGTACCAATCGATGTTAACGCCATGAACATTGATCTTATGTCTATCAGCGGGCATAAACTATATGGCCCAAAAGGTAATTTTTGTTATTATCTATCTTTATTGTTGTCTTTTGAACCTATAACGACTATGTCCAACATAGTTTTTATTTGCAATAAAAAAATTGTAAAAGTTATTTTAAATCTATAAAAAAAAGTCAGATGCATCGTATCTTTTATGCGTGAAATTTATTAATTATTTATTAAGGCATTGGAGCCTTGTATGTCAGAAGAAGACCACGAGTGCGAGTGGAACCATTGCAAAGTGGAGGTGGACAAGAGAGAGGAATGAGAAGCGGTACTGTGCCAGCACCCTTAGCTGTGGGACTGGGTGCCGCTTGTGAATTAGCAATGACTGAAATGGACGTAAGTAAAACAAAAAACTATTCTCTTTCTCTACACAATACATTCAAGATTATAAAATTCACACCATATTTTACAGTACGATCACAGATATATCAACGAGCTATCAAATCATCTAATTGAGAAAATAATGACAAGCTTACCACAAGTTGTACGAAACGGCGATCCCGTGAACTGGTATCCCGGCTGCGTGAATTTGTCATTTGCATGCGTCGAGGGTGAATCATTACTGATGGCTTTAAAGGATGTGGCACTGAGCAGTGGTTCTGCTTGCACCAGCGCGAGCTTGGAACCCAGCTACGTGTTGAGAGCAATTGGCGCTTCGGAAGACTTGGCTCATTCCAGTATTAGGTATACATTTCGTATTGAAGGAACTTTGCTGAGTGTCGATATAATAATACTTTACTCTGTTATATTAATATAATTTATAAATTTGCATAAAACTAGGTTTGGCATCGGCCGATTTACAACATTAGAAGAAATCGATTACACCGCCGAAAATACGATACGGCAAGTGAAGCGACTTCGGGAAATGAGGTATATGCTCATTAATTATCATAAAAACGTTTATTTCAAATGCGAGACGTAGTCTAAAGATCCACTTTAGACTTACATATGCGTTACTTTGGCGTCAATTTGTAATCTCGTTTCACGGAGGGAACAATTTTATCGTTGGACGTTTCGTACGATCATGAAAGATGAGATCATTTCCATTTTTTGTCTCTACGCATATCTACTAGCTGCGACAATGTTACGCGAGTGTTAAGAGAAGCACCGAAACTCTAATCTTTGCTTGCTTGTTATTTTGCAGCCCATTGTGGGAGATGGTGGAAGATGGTATCGATTTGAAAACTATTAAGTGGACTCAACATTAGTGCCTCGCGCTTTACAAACCTAGCTGTGTAGTACGTATATTAATCATAATGTTTAATGATACCGATCTTAAATCACAACAGATCAAATCTAGTTAATTAATGATTGACGAGGTGTAATAAATTTTTATTTGAAAAAATTGTTACCATCACGTTATTTTAAACTTGATCTAATCCTATTTAAATATGTTTGTATATCACACTGGTGGATTCCTCCCATCTTTCTTCGTGATTTTTTCCTCATAGTAAAGTCACTTGCGAGTAAGTGCTTGATACAAAAAGTTTGCTCCTTTCTCTTGCATTGCGTTATAATCTTAAGAGTTTTCCAAGATTGTGTCATGTATTATAAATATCAGTCAATTAACATAAACACGATGGATCAGCTGCTTCATCGATGTACGAGATCTTAAATCGATCCTTGTCCATCTCGTGGAGCTCCATTCGCGATCGATTAGCTTCAACTAGATGTTGCGCTATATCCTCAAACATCTCGTTTACTCCTTCGCCAGTTTTACATGATGTTTTATATATTCCCGAAATCAGATTGTGACATTGTTCGCTAAAAGATTTAATTCTTTTCAATTTATATATAAAGATAAACTCAAATCAAATTATAAAAAAATTTTTTAATTACCAAAATTGCTCCATCTCTGCATCCGTAACTTGTGGCGCAACGCTCTCCAAGTCACTTTTGTTCCCACAAAGGAATATCTTTGCATTTTCTGCATACGTAACTATGTCCAGCAAATGTTGGGATAATAAATGAAACGATGTTGAGTTATCCAGGGCGAATACGAGAATGGCAGCTTCTGCAAACTTGTAATAACTTGAAGTAACCGATGCCACTCTTTCCATACCGCCAGTATCCCATAATTGTAACTGAAGAAAAAAACAGTCAAAAATATTGATTCTAAATATCACAAAAATTATTCCATATGATTTTGTTTTATATGTATAAATACTCTGCACACACACACACATACATACACACATATATAATTTTCAAAATGCAGCATACGTTGCTTAAATTTCAACAATATCTATTAATACATTCATACTTCATAGACTAGATATCAGTTAAACAGTGCCTACAATTCTTGTTAAAGTTTTGTAAGTATATTAGTATGCAAGTTTATTTATTATACAATATTAGCAGAGAATATTATAATAGTAAATAATAAGGTAATACGAGAATGAGTTCTGAGGTGCAACTAACACATGTATGTAGTTTAACAGTTAATAAAAAGAAAGAAGGCGTAAGATTTTTTGAAACAATCGCATATACATTCAGTCTTGTATTTTGTAAAAAGCAACTGACAGAAGCAACATTGAAAACTCACACGTATTCGTCTGTCCTCAACAACATATTCCTTATCGATGTTGTCAAGACCCAGTGTTGACTTACGATCATTACTGGCGACGAACGTGTTATTGGCGAAGCGCCGAAATATAGACGTCTTGCCGACGCCGTACTCGCCACACAGGATAACCTTCTGCTCTGTTACTTTGACAGTCGCCATGTCGTCGTCGAGCGATCACGCCGGCTGCGATCACTGCTGACGAATTATCGTGCATGTATTATTGTGCAACACGTTTCTCATTCAGCCACTGAGAACCAGTCCACCTCAACGTCGCTCACCATAGACCGATGTTCCAAGTGCAACGACTATTAGTACTGATATGAGTCATTCCTTTCAACCCTGTCAGAGTTGACAATGCGGAGGTCAGTGAAACCCGCGTTCTACAGGGTGTTTCAGGTAAAGACAGAAATAAGTTAACGTTGCGAAATTAATTTTTCCATTAGAATGCTTTTTTCTGCATTATGTATATTATAAAGGAATATAATTGGACAAGATACAGCAGAAATTGAAATGGGTGTTTATTGAATGCTTAATACTTGCATTATGCAAGATTCACAATGCGTCCGACATGACCCACGTGGGATTCAATAGGATAATTCGTTTTCTAGGAACTATTATAGCGTTAAATAAAATCCTTTGAAAGCACACTTTTCTATTGGATGCCATACATTGAAGGAAAAACGCGATATCTTGCATTATCATTGGTGTATATTTACATATTTTTCAACTAAACTTTTCTAAAATGTCGTCCAGTAGTCGTGTTTTGTGAAAGCAGCCAATCTAACATCAATCGGATTCGATGCTTTTCACGTGCAGAAAAATGTACAGTGATGTAATAGTTTTTCAAAGTTGAAATGTAATACTCGATTGCTACGACGCTATTAAGCTTAATTTAATAACAATAAAACTTGAATTAATTTTGTTTTATTTTATTTTACTGTGTTAAGAGCGCGTAGATCTCTATCGTTCCATACAATGGGAATACAGATTTCAAAAAACTACGTATATTATTTAAAAACAAGTGGCATCTGTGTTGTAGTGCTTGGGTAAGTTGACTCGATTGTTAAGTGCTATTCAGAGTTGAAACTGTACGTATTTAGAGAAAAATTGCATCTGTTATAGAAATTTTTGGTTCTTGTATCAATTGCGACAGATATCTCGAACCCTTCAAGCTGCTATTAACACAAATGTTCTAAATTTGGAACAAGCACACGCACAATACATTTATATTGACGACCCTCGATTCAATGGTAATCATTGTCTAATGTTGCAATATATATTTGACATATATTCTGACAATTGCAATTAATTTCCTTTGCTTTTAGATGTCTTTATGTTTAGAAAGAATAAAGACTTAAATGGAATTGTGCAAAAGAGATCACAGAGTCTCAGTGATATTTTAAAGAGATGGTGGAAAATAAAGAATCATAAAGTTGCATATAAGTTACTATCTATGGCGCAACATGGGGATAGAAACGAAAAATTCAAAGCTGTGACTGCTCTCGGTTCTGTCATACACTTGAAAGGTAGGCTTACAAAATATTGATACACTTTCTTTGAAATATAATAGATTTAACTTCTAGAATCTACAGTTATTCTTTATAGAATACATAAATTTTAGATTGGCAATATCGTCACTTAGCACAGATGTTAGACGCTAGAACAGCAGTATCCCTTGCAAGAATGCCAAATGTAAATTCGAAATTCTTTTTGCAACCACCGTACTATCATGTACAATATAATTTACATGTATGTAATACAATAGTTTAAAAATCTTAAAACTATGTATTTGTAAGAAATATTTTACCAATATTTTTCTATCTTATGTTTGATAAAATATGTTTATATTAACATAAAATGAATTGTCTATTTTTACAGGATGTGCTTGAAAAAGTACACTTATTGCTGCTACAGCTGAATACTTTATGTGATAACACACATCTCTGTCTTACACAATTTCTTAGTAAAAAATTCAAAGACTTGCATCGAGTGAGTATCTAAATATACATAAAAGAAAATTATTCACAATGTAAGGGCATAATTTAGAGTTTAAAAAAGAGTATAATAAACATATATATAATTAATTATATTACGTCTGATGTGCAGTATCTCGAATGGTTTGATCATGACTCAGCAAGCGTGGGTCTTTCTGTGGAACCAACAACAGTTTGGGATAATGAACTACTCAAGAACTGCATTCAAGCGATATGTCATCATTCTTCTGTAGAACAGTATAGCAAACGTAAGATATGAAAGTACTGTATATTCTTTTGTGCAATTTTACAAATTAATATATACTCTACATTTTTGGTTAATTTTTGAATTTTAGATCTGGTCGATGCTGGAGCTTTGCCAATATTAATAACGATACAGAAAATGTTCAGCGATGACATAGAAATGTGCATATTGCTTGCGAGAATAATATGCAATATATCTCTTCATTCCAAATATTTAGAGAGCATCTACGAATCTGGTAAGATTACTCAGTGATGTTTATACTAATATATTATTGATATATCTGAAATAATTGTCTTGGATAGGCTGGATCGGTATATTGCTACGTTGGTCCCGCAGCGATGACATCCGTTTATCGGCGCTGGCAACTTCTGCATTAGCAAACTTGGACGTGGATGGAAACGAGAAGGCGAAATATCCGCAGAATGTTTATCTTCTTTACCCTCTGCATAGAGTTCACGCAACTACGAAGATGGATGTCGTGTTTCTGCATGGACTGCTAGGTGGAGTTTTCGTTACCTGGAGACAACGTGATGTAAACACCTCTGCATTTGAAGTTATAGGTTTGTTGATACAGCCGTATGATTTGTCAACTTTATTTTTTTTTTATGTTATTTCTCGCAATAAATCACGTCTATTTTTATTACACATTTATTTATATAAATTTGTAGATGAGAATATGTTGAATGAGACCACAGATTATTTACCTACTATGACCGATGATGATCGTCCTGAGGAATACTTTAAAGACTTGGTTCGCGATCTACACTTGTATGAATGGAGAAAATTAGGTCACGATTTCGAAATTGTACTGGACGATTGTCCGCTCAACACGAAACGAAATGCTGACGCGTGCGGACCTTACTTTTGCCGAGGGTAGATTTTCACGTAATTATAAACTTTAGAATAATATGAGTGAAATATTTGTGGTGCATAAAGCACAGCTTTCATAAATATTGTATTCAACCAATCTTAAATTTTCACACGCAATATTTTTAGAAATGATGCCTGCATGACGAGTGCCTCTACAACGCGATGTTGGCCCAAAGATTGGTTACCCAAGGATATACCATCCTTACGAATCATAGGTGTTAACTATGATACTAGTTTATCCATGTGGACGCCTTACTGCCCAATAGAAAGTATGAGGTGAGTGTTGTATTTCATTTAGAAAAACCGCATTGAAGTATTCTAATTCTTGCCCGTTTTCTATAAATAATTAAATATATCAACAATTATATCGCATGTTAATATCTTATTTTATTAGGAGCAATATTAAAGAGAGAAGCGAGGAATTTGTTACCAAATTGACAATGGCAAATATAGGGCAGCGGCCACTTATATGGGTTGGCCACTCAATGGGTGGATTGTTAGTTAAAAAAATGCTTGTAGAAGGTAAAGGGATTTAATTTGGATACATTTTTATATTCTTTTATAAATATATGTGCTCACAAAATTTATTATCGTTGCTATTATTATTGTTAATATTATATCATGATTATGTTGCTTTTATAGAGTGGAAAACTGGAGATAAACACGGTATCTGCAAGAATACTAAAGCTATCCTATTTTATGGTACTCCTCATCGAGGTTCCCATCTGGCGGCTCTAAAGCAAACAACGCAAATGTTGGTGTGGCCTACGGTCGAAGTTCAAGAGCTACGTGAAGGTAATTATCAATCTATTTACTTTTACTTACAATTGACGCATAATTTATCATTCCAACATTTCAGGATCGCCGCAATTGTTAAAATTGCACGAAGAGTTTCTAAAAATGTTAGAGGAATATCATATAGAGATTGTGAGTTTCGCCGAGGCCAAACCGACGCTTCTAACCGCACTGAAGTTTCCCTTCCAATTCGTCAGCCTTGAATCGGCAGGTAACGCGTTATTAAGATAAATTAGATGTACATTTTTCATTTCACCTACATAATTCTTACTATTTTTACACATTTTATTATATGATTATATTATTTTAACTATAGCTTACCTTAGTATGCTATATGCTTGTAGATAAATCTAACTTCTTATCTAAATTCTTATCATCACAGAATAATGTCACTCGTGTACCATGTCTTTTCAGATCCTGATGTGGGAGAATTCTTCGAGATTGCACAGGATCATTTATCAATATGCAAACCAGCTGGCAGGTAATATTATTCAGGATTTAAAAGCACCCATTAACAAAAAATAAAAAAGAGACGCCAAATTCCATTATATACAATTGTCAGATAAAAGCTATTTTTGTTCAACTGTCAATTTCGAAGTCATGTATCTGTTAAATATGATTAAGTCTTTTTCACGTAATTAACACAAACGGAAGAATAACAAACGTATGTTTCGTGTTCTTTTTACAGGCAATCCTTTTTGTACCAGAAACTTCTCAGTGTGCTCAGACATCATGTTAACCCTCAGATAAAAACGACTATTCCTTGGATCAGGGACACACTTTCTACATTACTTTAGGTATGAATTATACGTATTAATATATATGTATCATAAAAGTTTTATATATTTTTCTATTTTAAAACTGTACGAAACTGAATGTCATTGTGTGAATTATAGAAAAAACTCGCAATAACATGTATAATTTGATCTTTATCTATTATCTCATTTGGCGTCAAGTGCAACTGATTACAACATGTTATTGATTATTATGCTGACTAGAATAAATTTCTCTCTCATTAAAATGAATGGTAAAGAATAAATGGATAATTCGACGAGTGTTGGAAAGCAACAAGTACAAAATATTACTATACATACGAGAATAAAAATTAACAAGTCCATATATTTAAAATGCTCTACACGCAGATGTTGCATAATCTCGCGTCAAAACTTCATAATACACACACACTCTCTCTATTAAAAGAAGTAAAATACATATTTTGATGGTAGAATAATCTTTATTTTACCGATGCTTACCTAAAGCGCCAAATAAATTAAGTGAAATCGATATTGATGGAAAACATTGTAGTTTATTGCCGTCAAGTTTAGAAGTTTGTGTCGTAATCAGGATGATGACGGCTCGATAAGTTCGTGGTGCTGTCGTAACCGCCGTACTTGCTACTTGTATGCGATGGATTGTAATAATAACCATTCCATTCGGATCGCCAACTGTCGTATAAATTGTACTTTTTGTTGTCCTGGAAAGATTTATCAACCAAAATCTGAAAGGGAATAGGAATCTGAGATAAATATATTTTGCAGCTGATATACAGAATTAGCCTGTAAAGCGTCATTTATACGCGCACACCTTATTCGAAGTCGATTCGAAAGACTTGTCGTTCCAAGAGACGTCGGGATCGGTCCATATCGTGTGCACCGGCTTCGAATAATCGCTCGATCTGTGACTCGATGTGTGCTTAGCAACTTCCTCCTCATAAATGGTAGACATGGTCGGCTTCAGTTTCGACCTGTTTTGCCTGTTGATAAGCTGAAAATATTGTTCGTTAGTTTTGTTTCTTTTTTTTTTTACCCCCCCGATGGGTTTCCACCTTGACGAAGTCGTAGAGCACGTGTTCGCAAGATGCAGCACGTCGAGGCGCACGCGGTCAGACAGTTCACGGGAAATCACGATACGAAGTGTCTTTTTTTTGTTTTTTTTTTAAACCGATCTGCCGCTTCGTTATCAGATTATGACCGTTGAGACATCTTTTCAACCGTTTGCTTCGTGCTCACTGCGAATACTTGTTTTGCGGCGGGTGGAGGGGCTGATGGTTGCATACAGGGCTACCCATTCAAGGGTACTCCTGGATACAATTAACAAAGAGGAACCCCCCAAGCTAAGGTGTAAGCTACCGTGCCGAGGGCTGCATGACGCAAGGGGTGTTGCGTCACGAACGGTGCCTCCTGGATACCGGGCGACCTTCAGGAGTACGCAGCCAAGCCTCGGGCATTCGCGGCTCTGCCCGAGTGAAATCGCACATCCGCGGTACTCGTGGGAATAAAAATGGAAAGTAACATGACAAATACTGATTATATAATACCACTCCAGGACGTAGCCCTTTTAGAACGCGAACCACTGGAGAAAAATGAAGGGGTTGAACAGAAGACGGATTCTGCTGAGAACAAACCGCAAACCGACAAACCTAGAAGATACAGCGGTGCCGCGAGACGTCGCTATAAAAAGCAGCGTCGGGCTTTACAATCTCAAAATCCTCTACTGAACGTTACATCGGCCACCGATTCCAGAGAAATCAGTCCACCGGAAGCTGCATCGGCCGCTGGTCTGAAGGAAATTAGTCTACTAGAAGCTGCACCGGTCACTGATCCCGTGGAAGTTAGTCCACAGGAAGCTACATCGGCCACTGGTTTCAAGGAATTTAGTCCACCGACCGAAGAGCTTAAACGTGCCTGGTCGACGTCAGATGAAGTTGCAAACTCATCAAACGGCTACTCGGACAAAAGACGGAAGATGCACGTCGATCAAAATTTATCCGTCAAGACGGTAAACAATACCATCACGATGGCTCTCATTTTAGAGGGGTTTCCCGAAAAAAGGCTGGATGCCAATGATGTTTCTATCATCAGGAAGAACATCACGAGACGTATCCTTGATCTGGACAACGACATAAAGGCTCCTACCTTCACCGGTATGTGGAATAACAATGGTGCAGTTTTTATTCACTGCGTCGATGAATATTCGAAAGATTGGCTAGAAAAGATGTCCCGTGAATTAAATATAAGAGGAGTTTCTGTGCACATGCTGCCAGCCGAAGATATGGTCAAGCGTCATCGGGTGGTGGTGCGCGTGACAGATCCAGAAATAAGTGCCGATGAAGTTCTCAAACTTTTCGACAGGCAAAATGAGGGCCTGGGTGCGAAGGGATGGATTGTTTCTAAGAACAGCGAACGCAGAGATGCTCTGCGCACTCACTTTATAGCCTCAATCAGCAATTCCTCCGTAGAAGTTCTGAAGGCCCTCAACTTTAAACCCTATTGCGGAGTAGTTCGAGCGACTGTAAAGCTGCTCAGGGAAGAAAACAATAGTCCTGTGAAGCAAAATGTATCTAGAAACGAAGAAGCGACCGGAACATCGGAATCAACCAACAGTTGAAAATTGAAGGGTTCACAACAAAAACAACCCTTGTCAATTCTTTCACGAGAAAAACATTCTGTCGTCCTTAAGTTTGCAATAGAACCATCCAAACTTCCTAGCAATATAAATCAAAGCATGAGTTTGTTTTTATGAGAATTGATGCAACCACACTGTAGGCACCACCTGTGACTACCGCTAAAGTATTGAAAGTATAAAGCATCAATAGCAAAGGGAGTTTTAAATATATCTTGCATCCTGCCAAATATATCCTGCATTTTGCTGCCTTGCTGCCAAATGGCACACACACACACACACACACACAACAAAGCCTCTCCTTACAACTACCGCTACTATTATTACTATTGCCACTACGTGGCTCTTCCTATATGTCTACGCGAAGTTTCAAACAATTTTAACACTTACCACAGATACACCGAACACGATAATGAATAGTAGACCTCCTACGCCTATTACTATCACCGCAATAGCCCACTGAGGTATCAGCCTATCGTCCTTTTCGATGTAACGCGGTGTATTCGCTTTGGGTATCACTGCGAAATATAATACATTTATCATTTTCGAACATTTTGACACACAATAAAACATTTAAAAGGACTTACGTGATTACTTACCTACAAAATCAGTATATTTAGGATCAATGGTGAAGATTCCCATCCTCAACGCACCCTTCGTGCTTGTCTCATTCCATCGATTGGCGTTGTATGTCCTAAGCGAATCGTGGAAAATCACTTTCAGCTCTTGTGTATTCACTTTTTGCTGTACATTGGCTAGTTCGACAAAGTAGTCTACCAGAATGCTACCTTGGCTGAAATCAAAAGTCGCGCATTTGTTAAATCTCTATAATATTGAAGCTTGTTTCATTTATCACATAACATGTGATTCGCTAAAAATTTTATCATTCTAAAAATCGCGTACAATCAGAAACTTATACGCACCCTCTTTCATCTTTATTTCAACATTGCTACTTAAAATAATATCTACAAAATTGAAATTACCTGAAAGAATCGATCCTTATCTTTTTGTACCAGTTCATCAAAACGCTGGATTTCGAAAATATAAAATTCATCTAAAAAAATGCGAGAGATAAGTTTTATAATTTGTACATGGTTCGCATTTTTTAGGGGACTAGAAAATTGATCGAAAATACCTCTCGTTCCACTTGATTCGCGAGTTCTTGCCACTCGCGAGTGTTTCGATCGAACAGTTCCGGCATCCATGTTGCGTTCCCGATTATGCGTATCGTGCCGGCAACCTCGCACTCGTCGTCGCACATACCAGGAGTCGTTGGTCTTGGCGTCGTCGTCGTCGTAGTTGATGTCGACGACGTACTCGAGATTTCGTTTGTGCTCGGGATAAGTGACATGTTCACTGATGCTACAGTAGCTGTGCGCGCAGCTTCCAACAACTTCTCGATGGAGATTGGCGTGGTGGATGGAGTTGGCCATCCGGTGAATTCCGTGGTAGCTCTGAAATTTTGGTTGACAATGATAAGATGAATTAATGATCATTTAAAACACTGATATTTCCATAAAAAACTCTTTGACATAGTTTTTTGCCGGTTATAAAACAAAATTGTAACACACAATAAATATACAAATAAAACTGGTACATTGTTGTTCCAAATATTTGATGTACAAACTTTGAAAAAAGATTCTATTATCAGACGCAAAAATCAAGTTATAAAATACCTAGTCGGCCATCCCTTTTGTATCTTCGGCGTTGCCGTGCTTGGACCTTCTCCACGTGGACTTTGAGGAGTGGTTATTTTGTGAATGGGTTTGCGGCCGCCTGGTCTGCTAGGGAACACGATTTTCAAACCGCCGGCTTTCTTCACAGTGGACGTTTCAGGATCGGTCCGTTCCGTAACTGTCGCGTTGTGCTCGCCACTTATATCGTCGGCTTTGCTATCCGGAACGAGATCCTTTTTCTTTTGTTCGTAATCCTTAGGTAACAAGGCAGAAATATCAACTTTGGAGGACGCGAAGAGATCCCGAATAGACGGTACGACTTTTTCCGAAGAGACGTCTGCACTCTTCGCCGTCGTTGTTGTTGTTGTCGTTATAATGGTACTCTTCGATTTAGATTCTTCCTCATTTTTCTTCTTATTATAATCGGATGGCAAGAGGGATGAAATATCCACCTTGGACTTGGCGAGAATGTCACTCAAAAGAGAACTTTCCGTAACAACTGTATCTTCTTTCTTCAACTTGTATCCTGGCGGTAAAAATGCGCTAATATCTTGGACGACAGTGCCAGTTTTAGGTTTTGGCCGTGGTGTGGTCGACGTAGCTTTCGTTTCTGCTACTTCCGCAGATGTAGTTGATTTTGAGGAAAATCCCCTGGAAAAAAATTAATTCTTTAATTTTTAATCGTCATTCAATTACATTTTAGCTTATCGGGTTACATCGAAGAACATCTTTTATTATTTTCTTTATTATTTATTATTTGTATATATCAACGCGTAACTGATTTCTTAAATATACTGTTATGTTTAATAAGATGTTCTTTATTAATTATAATTTTAAATAGTTCTATTTTTCTAATGAGAATCACGTACAATTATAAATCTTACAGAGTCTTTCAATGAAATATATCCAACCTGAAGTTTATCCTAGAAGACCCCACGCTTGGTGTGGTTCCTCTCGAGACGTAATTCCGTGGCAGTAGACCTTCCAGACTGTCGACTACAGTCTCAAGTCGCGACTTCGCTGTGCTGCTGATGCTAGTTGCGCTGATCGTGCTGGCGGTGCCAGTTGTGCTAGTGGTGGTTTGGTCTAATTTTCTGTCATTGTAACGCCGAGGTACAAACTTGCTGATGTTCGGCGTTTTCGCCGTGGTGGTGAAGCTTCTGCGAGTCGTCGTGCGATCTCTCTCCGCCAGAACGTCCAATTGCAGCGTGTTGCCGGCATTGCGGAAACCGCCGGTCCCAAGTATCGCGGCCGGCAGGAGATCGCTGGACAGCTTTGACTGCGCCCAATCGAGCTTGTCGATGATGCTTTCCGTAGACTCGGACGTAGACTGGGACGTCTTCTTGCTCTCCAGCGATCCTTGCGCCTCCACGCGATCTATCACCGGGAACGGCAGGAAGCGCGCGCCCGACACACTTCGGCTGGTCTGCACGGAGGCCAGGATCTTCGAGGAATCCTCCGTCGTTATTTCCGGCTGATCCGTCGTCTCGGTCAACGAGGCTGACGGCGACGGCGCAACTTGCTCCGTGGTGGTCGGCGAGACCGTCGTCGGCACTGATATCGTGCCGTTCACCACGCTCTTCGTAGTCACCACGGATACCACGGCACCGCCTATTAGAACGGAACTGCTCTCGGCGGAGGACACGTTTTCAGATTCCTCCTCGGGCGCGTCGAGAACGGAGAATGCGTGATCGCTGCCCTCCATGGACGAACCTCTCTCCGGATCCGTCGGCGGTATTGAGCTGCTGATTTCTTCATCGACGATGCGCGATGAATTGGAAGACGATTCGTGTAAAGCGTCCTCGTCTCTCTTCTCCAGCGCACCATGCTCCGATTTTGAAGAATGCGCGAAGTCTTCTTCCTCGGATTCCACGTCCGGATAATCCAAGTTCCCGCCGTCTGAGAAATAGAAAGAAACGAATATTAAACTTTCAAACACGGATTTGCATTTGTGATTAATTAAGTAAATTCTGGCGATTAAATATTTTTACTTAGAAACTTAAAATCTTCGTTATGGCATACACACACACATATAATAATTGAAGCATACTAAAGAAACATATAAATCAACAAAAAATCGTTCAATGTATATAGAATTCAACTATTTTCTGCCGATACTTTATAATTTCATTATCTCTCGCGATACAATTATCTACACGAAAAAAATAAACACACACACACACACACACACACTTTAAGTTTATTGAAATTAATCATTGCAACTTACCTACGGCCTCATATCTGGAACGATTGCCGTTGTCGTACTCATCGTAATAATAATACGTATTGTCGTACTGGTTCGTCGGGGGGTCTTCGAGGTAATCCACATCCCGTTCCTCCGCCTCGGTACTCGAAATATTGCTGGCTTCCGATGGCGATCTCTCTTTCTTCGTTGCGCCATTATCGCTATCAGAGGAATCGTTCTCTTCCTCCCCGTTCTCGTCCCCCTCGACTTCTTCATGCTTATCCTCATCTTCGTATTCCTCAACATCGTACGTTAGCTTAGGTTCCTCCTCCTCCTCCCCCTCCTCGTGCTCGCTCGCCCCGTTCGATTTCGACGTGTCCATCACGTTGTTCTCATCCGGCGAGTGTGGCAACGATGTATCGGCTTCGTTGCTGGACGGCGATGCATTTCGATCCTGCTTCTCGTACACCGAGTTCGTTGGCAGAAGTTGCGAGAGTTTGTCCAAAGATCGAATTGTTTCTAAAAATCAAATAATGCGGAATGACGTTATCAAAAGGGATGGCATGTTTTATCATCGATTTCCCATGTCTATTGTGCAACATCGTGTGGAACATATTTTCCGCGGATTCAAGATTAAGTTACATGTTTTTAACAGTGGTTGACGCGGACACGTGAGAATTTATCTCACAATGTCGAGCTGTATCGTTGAAAGTAATGAAGAAAGCGAAGACGCTTTCTAGTATTGTTTTCTGCGTTCCGTAGGCGCATCCGACCGACGAAAAGAATGACTTAATTATTTTTTTCTCAGCTTTATACAATGTTGTTCGTGGTGCAGATATTAACAAACAATTTATTTAGATAGTCCTGTATCCATTCCTCTGATAAAACTTGCAATTGTAAAAAGTGGATCTTATTCTTTGTTTATGTACATATATTCTTTATACATCTTTAATTCATTCTTTTTTTTTCCCACTTTATTATTCCATAAATATTTGGTTATGAATATTTAACATTCTGAAAAATTGATCAATTTTACAAATATTTAATTTCACAGATTCACATTTTTTAAATTGTGCATTCTCTAATTACGTCTTTTAATTCCTTCATTTATCAGTACAAGATTTGTTCATTGTACGAGCAAATCATTCCAATTTGTATTTAAATTGAATATAGCACAGAGATATTAAAAGCAATTAGCATTGCAATAAGTAGAACGGCGTATTGTATCCAACGTTAATTAATTGACAATAAGATTTGTGAGCGTTTATAGTCACGAGCGGTGAAGCGGCCATGACAAAAGAAAGCGCACGACAAAGTGTGCTTTATATCCGGCTGCAGCAATCTGACTCTTGCCGATTGCTAACAGCTGTCCGACTTTTACGTCCCAACGACTCGCAATTGTGAATACTTTCTTAACAATACACACTTAAAAGAGAACGCTGCGAATGTGTGCACTCTGAACTTTTACTCGCTCTTCATTAATCGAAAGTCGGAAAATCTCGAGCAATTTTCAGCAGCGAATTTTCAGCTGATTACATGTACATAATTGTTGCTCGCGGTGCTGCAACGATACGACGGCAGTTATCCCGAGCTTGGAGCACAATGCTCGACAGAGTGCATTATTGTAGCAAGGTGAAAGGCGAGGTATCGTGCATTTCGCCGCGCATTTAAACGAGTCGCGCGGACATAATTTATTAGCGGCTTGCGCAATATATATAAATCGGATAAAAATCTCCAGGATGAATAAACCGCGCACGAGTCGAGGGAGGCAGCTTGGATACGTCTAAATGGGATAGAGAGAGAGCAACAAGGAATACCGTAACGAGTGCTTGCGATATTATGTCGTGCGCTATAATAAAGCGAGATATACATCGATGTATCGTATGAGAGAAGGGAAAATGAAATAAATTACATAACTGTATGATATATATTTGTCTGCAAAATTATTATAAGAAATTCAATTTTAATATGTTTGATCGTTTATTTATATAATTATTAAAAATGGGGAAAGATAATAAGAACCAAGGTGCGGAAATGTTGGTGCACAAAAATCCAATTGATTTCAAAAGGATTCTTTTTAATTTTCTTTGTATTCTTTTCTCTTAATAAATTGGTTTTTTGCACACCAATATCCACGCTTTTCGTCTTTATTACCTTTTTTTCCCTCGCTTGAACATTTTTTATATTGTTACAGAACCATTCTTCACTATATTATAATTATATTTATACTTTACGGTGTATAAACAGTGTAATTTTCATCGATGTTAATAAAACTGGAAAAATCCGAACTTGCAAAATTGCACATTTATCATATTTGATAAATGAATAAGTTATTAAACAATCAATTTAATTTACGAATTAATTTTCTCTTCTTGTAAAACCAATGAAAATTTAATTTCAACACAAAACTATATTTCATGTCCATTTACCTTTTATTACTGCAATTATTACATAATTTCTGATCGAACAACGGGCCTTTTTGCGGCGTGGTTGAGATAAAACCGCTCTCTCTATCTGTTGCTCTCTATCTGTTACTGAAATACTACGAGCAGCCTCGGGGTACGGCAATTTAATCCCAAAGTCCCTTTGTTGTCCGCGGTAATGTTCGTCGTAATGTCGTACTTGTATTTCAGTGTCGTAACTAGAGTGGTGACTTTCGTAGGCGTGAACGTCGATCAGATCAACGTAAAATCCGAACGCGAATATAAATTAAGGCGGGGTTACATGCCACTCGACTGCGCATTAGTCTCACGTGATGTTTCAACTTGTTCACACCGGTGTGAATCACTGTATTTACAAAATACACGATTTCGAAGAAATTATCTCCGCACGCAATTTACCTTCGAAAACGCGCAAAGTGTTAATTAAAATGCTATTAAAATCGCTGCTAATTTTCCGACAAGCGGGGATAATATGTACAATCTCTTAATTTTCAAAGCGATTCGCAAAGTAAAAATTAGAGAACGGTAGTAATTTTCTTCGCGCTAATAATTACGTTTCCATGTAAAAAGAAACTCGGAAAAATCGACGCTTTTAGCGAATTTCTATTTCCTCTATATTTTAAGATTCACGTAGAATTACACGATTTCTAGCACTCACTTGTGACTTTCTCTCAAAACTGTAATAAAATCGAAAAGCGAATAACAAACCAACGCCCGCTTTATCGCACGCATGTGTATTAATCACACGCATTAATTGTGCAGCGCTGCGTCTCGACCGTTGAGGTGATCTACGATCATCGTTCCGCGGAACGATCGCGCGGGAATCGCGTCGCAAATTTTTACCGCGCCCCGTCGTGGAACTGCAGTGTGAGTTATGCGGCTGCAAATAGCCGCATAATTATAATTACGCGTTTCGCGCGCACGCACTATCGACCGATCGCATTCACCACACTTTACAATCGGCTGGGATTAATAGATCGGCATGGGGCGAGTATAAATTAAGGCGGGGTATCTTGGCGCTACCCGGCCGCACGTTGCTCTTACAAGGTGTTTAAGCTCGTCTCTTCTCTCTCGCTTCGTTGATACATCGCCGTGAATCGACGTACACGACCTCAGGCTCCGCTTAGGACGAAGTGTAAAGAGAAAGTGTAGAAAAAATACAATGTTAGCAATAATATAGTAATATATGTACGAGTAATAACTGTGCAAGAAAAGGTCAATGAAAAAAAAAAAAGAAAGAAAACTGATTAAAAGAGCGAAGCAGTACTAAAGCATAAATAAAGTAATTTGATAAAGTAAGCTTCATAAGAATTAAAGAAATATTAATATTAAAGAATATAGTGTCCTTGCTCTTTTTTTTTTTTGTTAAAAATTATGAACTCTAATTTCGTTCGTGTATCGTCATATTAAAGGATGTAGTGAAGAGTATAAAATGAAGTTTTGATATTGCCATTAATTAGTTGTTAAAATATAAAAATCTTAAATATTTATTTCTAAAGTACGAACTGTGTGTGTGTGTGTGTAATATTACTGCGATATATACCGCACTTTTTCCACGCTGTGCTAACATTTCATTCTCATATTTTCCTACGCCGTAGGCGTAAAGTTGCGATGCGAGGATGCCTTGATCGAAGAAAAATCCACCTCCGTAAAATGCCAATTATATCTGTGCCACGATGATTACTACTTGGTGCGCGCAGTTAATCCACAACGTCAGCATAGACGATTGCTATCGAATCGATCGGAACGACAAACGGTTTTGAAAATTGTGCATAAATATAATGAAAACAACAAGTAACAACTGCAGAGATGTAACAAGTAAGGGTAGATTAAATCCCGCTCGCATTGTTCCTTTTAATCATCTCTGTCCGCGCACGATAATTCATCGCCAATTTTATTGTGTGTACTTTAATGATTAAGCGTTCTGTAAAAATGTTCTTTTTCCTTTTATCAAGATGCCGTGTGAGAGTTGTTTGCATACATATTTGCTAATAACTAGGATCAGCTCATGCTTTGTGCGGGGGATTCCACTAGGCTGAGCTCCGAGACTCGAAGGCAGCTATATTTTATACTTAACGCCAGATATTATCGCCACCACGGGCGAATAATGAAATCGTGGTAATAGATAATCAGTTCGAGTTACTCGGGAATGGGATTAATGACTCGCGCAGTAAAGATTCTTGTTGCTTACTTTTTTTTAGCTTACTTTCAGCGATTAAACGGAGCGTGACCATGAATGCTCGTGCAATGCACTTTGTTACGTTTCTATCTGATTTATTGTTGAATTCTGCAAAAAATATTTGCCGTTGCGAAACTTTTCGAACTTCGTTACAAGTTGCGATTCTTAAATAAAATTCTGTTGCGTTAAAGTTAGTGAAAATTTTCATAATTTCTTCTCTATATCATATTTCTAAATAGGTATAAAACAGACTCTATTGCCTGCATTTGAAAAATTCTTAAATATACTTTATGTAATGCGAGTATGACGACAAATACTGACATAATTATGCCATGCCTTTTTAAATAGCGAATATGCGAGCGAGACATTTTGAAACAAGTTCAATTTTCTGCACTGATGAGATAATGGATAGAGACAATACTATGAGAGCGTTACAAAATCATTACGCGTAACTTGTGCAACTCTACGCTAACTTCTCAAAATATCTCGCGCAATTCCACGCATTGTGAGCAGACCGTAAAGACACGGGGTCTGATTTTTAGCGCGCGTTTACGAGATAATTCGGATCGCGATATTACGATACGAAGCGAACATGGTTATCCAAATGGATTCTTTTTTTCTCATATTCGGGGCGCGCGAGCGTTTTTCGACGTCGAATATTAAATATGTATAGCCTGACTGCGCGCTGGCGTAATTCGAAAACTCTTACATGGTCAGTTTAGTGCATACTTCCCGTACAAGCAATACTTTCACGATCTGGACACGGTAAGGAAGTGCACGTTCGATCGAAATGTAACGGGTGTGCGCACGGAAAAGGTGCGAGAAACACGCCGCGTTGCGCTAGGCAATTATAAGCTGCAGCCGTTCTCCTTTCGATCGTCCTTCGTTCAATTCAAGCT